AGGGTTCATGAGGGAGGAAGGGTGGGGGAGGGAGGGAAAAAATGAGCTGATACCAAGGGCTCAAGTAAAATAAAAATGTTATGAAAATGATGATGGCAACATATGTACAAATGTGCTTGACACAATGTATGTATGTATAGATTGTGATAAGAGCTGTATAAGTCCTGTACAATAATATATATATGAATAAAATCAATCATACAGAAATACATTGAACAGGAAAAGGTAAACATACTCCAATTCAAAACCGTGCAATAAAATGTGAAAAGGACATTTGGTAACTGTTCTGGAATTCCCATTCTTCTCAAGGCTATTTATAGTTTGCTACGGTCCACAAAATCAAATGTCTTTGCATAGTCAAAAAAAACACAGTAAACATCTTTCTGGTACTCTCTGCTTTCAGTCAAAATCCATCTGACAATCAGCAATGATATACTTTGTTCCATGTCCTCTTCCAAATTCAGTCTGAATTTCTGGCAGCTCTCTGATAATCTACTGCTGCAATCATTGTTGGACCCTAAATTCAGCTAAATTTTACTTGCATGTGACATTAATAATATTGTTGTATAATTTGAGTGTTCTGTTGGGCCACCTTTCTTTGGAATGGGTTCAAATATACATCTCTTCTAGTCAGTTGGCCAAGTAGCTGCCTTTCAAATTCCTTGGCGTAGATAACTAAGTGCCTTGAGTACTTCTTAGGCCACCTTGTTGAAACATTTCCATTGGTATTCCATCAGTTCTTGGACTCTTTTGGTTTTGGCTAATGCCTTCAGTACAGCTTGAACTTCTTTCTTCAATACCATAGATTCTAGCCCATATGCTACTTCTGTAAATGGTTGAATGTCATCTAGGTCTTTTTGGTACAGTAACTCTGTGTATCCTTTCCATCTTCTTTTGATGTTTCCTGCATTATTCAATATTTTGCATACAATCTTTCCATATTGCTATTCATGGCCTAAATTTTTTCTTGACTTCTTTCAATTTAGGATCTGCCGAATAAGTTTCTTTTAAGGTTTTTCTAACCAAATCTCCAAATATAATGCAGTTCCAAACCAGATCCCAGAATAATTTTTTTTTCAGAATAATTTTTAATGAGATGGAAAAACTATTGATTAATTTTATATGAAAATGAAAGAGATAAAGCAAAGCATTACTAAACCTACTGTGTTAGACAGGGTTCTCTAGAGAGATAAAACCAAATTGCTGATAATTTAATATATTTATTTATAAAGATAATTAGATATATAACAAGAAACGGACTGTTAAATCATATACAGATAAATATATAATACAAGAAATAAACAGTTAAATTAGAAAGTACTACAAATGGCTCAGTGCAACTCACGTCCGTGAGAGAAAGTTGAGAGACTAGCAGTCCTTCAAGTCTAGTCTGCTGCCAGATCTTCCTCTATTTATAGAGAGAGCTAGGCTATGTCAGCACAGCAGCCAATCACAAGGCAGGTCACCAACTGCCAGTCCCCAGCTCCAGAGATGTCTTAAAGGGACCTCAACTTACAGCAACACAGTCCACAGGCTAGGCGCCCCACAGGTAGTGTAGCCTGTAAATTGAGGCACAGAACAAGCAAGGCAGCCGCACACTGGTCCGATGATCACAGAATGAGAGACAAGAAAGGCAAGGCTCACCAAGCCATTTATCTCTCCGCCCTTCAGTTAATCCCACTTGTGTTTATCAGCCAGGCTGGCACAATAAACTATCTCACCTACTAAAGAATAATAAAGTAGGAGGCTTCTCACTTCTCAACCTGAAAACATACTACACAGCCACAGGAGTCAAAAGGAGCCTGGGACTAGTACAGTGACAGATATGAAGCCCAACGGAACCACATAAAGAACCAGAAATAAATCCCTCCATCTACAGAAAACTGTTTTTTAACAAAGGACTGAAATAGATTAAGTAAGGAAGAGATCGTCTCTTTAATAAATGGTCTAGCAAAACTGGATTTCCATTTGCAGAGAATGAAATGGGAGTCACAGCACACCGTATAAAGGCCTAATGCAAATCCTAGAGACAAAGACTCAATGAAAAAATAGGGACAAACGTAAGGATTCAAATACACGGTATAAACACTCTACCAAGCAAAGTGAAAAACAGATGCACAGTAGAAGATAACATAGGTGACTGGAACTACCTAAAAATAAGATACTTAAGAGGGGTACTCCTCAAAAAAAGTCGGAAAAAAAGCTCCACCTAGTAGTAGGCATTTTTCCTGCTCGGTGGGTATCAAGCAGCTCACGCTGAGTTAGTGCACCCAGCGGCATTGCCTGGGAAGGTTCTCTCTGGTCACAGTGGATTTTTTCATCAAGCAGTTTTGCTCAAACCTCATTTTTCGTGACGGCCGATTTAAGAGAATAACATACAGCTGTGAAATTTTGTTTCCTGCTTGGGAAAAATGCCACAGAAACCATGGTGATGTTGAACACAGTGTACAAGGACAGTGCTACTGGAAAAACTCAAGTGTACAAGTTGTTTTTTGTATTTCAAAAAAGGTGAAATGTCAATTGATGACAAGTCTCGTTCTGGATGTCTGCCAACTTCCTGAATGGACAAAATTGTTCACTCATAGTGCACTTGGAGTTGGTTCCACCAGGTCAGACTGTTAATCTATTTAGTGGTTCTAAAAAGATTGTGCAACAGTGTGCAACAAAAAAGGTCCGATTTGTGGCAGACTGGGGACTGATTTTGCCACCGCAACAATGAACGGTACTCACGCAGCCATCTCAGTGTACCAGCCATTGGCAAAATCAGCATGCCCACACACCCTACTCACCTGACCTTGATTGGTGTGACTTCTTTTTGTTTCTGGGAATGAAGAGGGACATGAAAGGACAGCAATTTGAGTGCATAACTGAAGAAAAAAACAAGGAAGGT